CAGCCACTGAGGCGCTAGAGCAGCAGCAGCAGCAGCAGCAGCAGCGGCAGCATGGGTCACTGCAACAGTTCCACGGAGGATGGGCAACAGGAGAAGCAGCAGCAGCAGCAGATGTGAGGTGCAGCAGCAGCAGAGACGCGGGAGAGGAGACAGAGACCTTCTGGCTGCTGCTGCTGGACGCTTTGCTTTTGCTGCAGCGCAACGGCTGGCCCTGCCCTCCTTGCTGCACCAAAAACTACAGCAGCAGCAGCAGCAACAACAACAACAGTAGCAGCAGCAGTGGCTGCCCATTCGACGCCTGGCTGCTGCAGCTGCAGCAAGGAAGCAGCAGCAGCAGCACGGCTCGGGATTTGCAGCAGTTGGCAAGCAGCTTTGCTGGAGCTGATGCTGCAGCAACAGCCCCCGCAGCAGCAGCAGCAGCAGCAGCAGCACATGAAGCGCATATGCCTCAGCACTTGACTGTGCTCTCCAAGCAGCAGCTTCAGCTGCTGCTGCTGCCGCTGCTGCGGGCTCTTATTGACTGTGGAGGCTGCTTGGGGCTTCCTCTAATAAGCCCAGCTAGTGCAGCGCAGCAGCAGCAGCAGCAGATGCAGCAGCAGCTGCAGCAGCAGCAGCGAAGCTTCTTTGAGGTCCCTGCCAGCAGTAACCTGCTGCTCTCTCTCAGCGACAGTTTCAGCAGCAGCAGCACGCAGGAATCAGCAGCAGCAAGACAGCTGCTACAGCAGCGGCAGCAGCAGCAGCTGCTGCTGCAGCAAGCCCCACTTGACTGTGGACGCCCTTTTTCTCCTTTATCAGCAGATCCTGATGCTGCTGCTGCTGCTGCTGCTGCTGCTTTGCTGCCTTCACAGGTGTTAGTGCTGCGCTGGCTGCTGCAGTCCTTTGTGATCTTCTCCTTTGCCCCTCAAGGAAGCAGCAGCAGCAACCAGCAGCAGCAGCAGCAGCAGCAGCAGCAGCAGCAGCAGCATGAGCCAGACGGTACGATGACCATTTTGGCTCTGCTGCACGGCTTCACAATGGGCAACAGCAGCAGCAGCAGCAGCAGCGGTGGCAGTAGCAGCAGCAGCAGCTTAGCTGCAGCATCGCAACAGCAGCTGCAGCAGCTTCTGTCTCTCTGCAGCAGCAAAACTCCTCCCCACTTGCTGCCTCTTGCTTTGTGTCTCTCGTCTTCCCCCTTTATCTCTTCTGCGCAAACAGGGGCCCCTGGGGGGCCCCCAGGGGGCCCCCGGGGGGCCCCCCAGGGGCCCCCTGGAAGACCCCAGGGGCCCCGCGCTGTGCTGCTGCTGTCGCTGCTGTCTTTGCTGCTGTGCGCTGACTGCCAGTTAGCTCTCCTGCAGCCTGTAGGTTTTGTAAACCCTAAACCCTAAACCCTAAACCCTCAGCTGCAGCTTGTAGTCCTTCAAAGTGCTAAACCCTAAGCCCTAGTCCGCAGCTTCAAAGAAGCCTTTCTGCTCGCTGAGGAGAAGAAACTTGGTGCGAACTGCTGTTGCTGCTGCTGCTGCTGTTGCTGCTGCTGCTGCTGCTGCTTTGTGTTTAGGCATTTCTCTCTTGGTTTGTTTCGTGCTGCTGCTGCCTCCTCTTTGCTGCTCCTGCTGGTGCTGCTTCTATTGGTGCTGCGCTGCTCCGCGTGCTGCGGTGTCTGCGTCTGCTGCTGTCAAATCCCTCCATTTCTTGGGAGTCCCCAGCAGCAGCAGCAGCAGCAGCAACAGCAGCAGCAGCAGCAACACC